AGATAAAAAAAAGCTTTTTTTTTTTTTTTTTTGGCTTGAAAAGAAAGCATTTTTCTTTGATGTGCTGTCATTCTTTTTTTTTGCGTTGGGAATTTTGCCTTTCCTTAATTAATTCTTTTTTCCTTGTACTTTACATTTTTGTCTCCGTCTTTTTTCCTTTTGTTTTTCCTCTTTTTACCAATAGCTTTGTTCTCTTTCTCTGTCATTAGCCGCTCATATTCGGAGGATTTATTTGCATTTTTCTAGAATATATCTTATTCCATCCATGCTCAGGAAATTAGAATGTTTCATGCTTGATGAATATTGTAATATAACGTGGCATTTTTATTTTCTCTTCTTCTTAAGATATTTGTTAAAGATAAATAATAGGATCACTCTTTTTTTTATTATCTTTGTCATTTTATATATTTATTATTTGATACGTGAATATTATAATAACAATAATTTTTCATATAAATTAAGATAAAATTATTTAAAAAGATTATCACTGAAACCAAATTCTTGAAATAATAAATTTTAAAATTAAATTAAATAAATAATATCTTTTTTATTATATAAACTGTTATTTATTTTAAAAAATTATAAAATTTACTATTTACTTAATTTAGTTTTAAAAAATTATTATTTACTACGTTCTCAAATAGCTAACTAAGAAAAAAAAAATTTTCAAACCAATCAAACTAACTAGACCTCATTCGTTTAGCTGATTTGAGTTTAGAATTTGAGTTGAGATGTGATTTTATGTGAGAGCTTTTTACTGTAATAAAAAAATTAGATGTGACTGTTTATGAGAGCTTTTTATTGTAGCAAAACTCAAATTCTAAACTCGAATCAGCGAAACGAACGAAGGTATATCCTAATTTGTTTGGTTTGATTTGATTATCGTCAATTTTTGTTGACACTCTTGTCGTTTATTATTGTCCTTGAATATTGTGTGAAAGTACATCATCCTTTATGCTGACGCTGTTTTACTTTCACATCTAAAAAAACTAGACATCGCTATTGCAATTAAAAAAAGTTAACACGTTTATTTCCTGAATTACGTGCATTATATGATTTTATGACCCGTTGATTTAAATTTTTAATTTGAATTAAAATGTAATTTTATGTGAGAATTTTTTACTGTAATAAAAAAATTAAATGTGATTCTTTTTAAAAATTTTTTATTATAATAAAATTCAAATCAGTGAAATAAACGGGATCTTAATCTCTTAAATTTTTATTTTAAAAAATTCCTCATTAAACTTTTAGTTTTTGACCACTTTAATCACTGCACGTTGAAATTGACAATGAATCTTTGAAATATCATAAATAAATCTTATCATGTCTTAAACGCATAATAACTTTTCTTATAAAAATAGTTATATGAAATGCTAAATATTTTTTTTAATATTTATTACAAGCCATTAAAAAATGTGTTGTTCTTTTTGTAAAAAATTGCAGGTACTGTGCGTCCGAGACGTGATAATCTTTGAGAGATTTTAAAAGATATTTGCTAATTTTAATATGCAGGGACCAAAATAGTTAAAAATAAAAATTTAGAAAGTAATTTATCAAAATTAAAAGTTTAGAAACAAAAGTTAATACAATACACACAATTCAAGTACTAACGGTATTTGTCATTCGCTATAGATTTTAATGACATTTTTAAGAATAAAAAAAATATTATTTATTAATTTGAGCTTGAATTTATGAACTCGAGTTGAAAGAGAAATTTGAACTCAAGTTTAGCCTTAAGTTCGAGTTCAAACTCAAATTTTATAAAAAAATATGAATTTAAATAAAGTTGTAACTCGAATTTAAACTTTTTACGAGTTTCGTTCAAAAAACCAACCCAAAATCTTTCTTCTGTGATATCCTTTTTCGAGTAAACAACCACATGTCATTTATAAGAAGTGTCGTCCACTTGGCGTCATTTTGTCATTTTCCTCCTCACCATTGGTTTGACCTCGACACCAATTTGAAGCTGTTTAGTCCAATCCTGACCGAGTGACCTTCCTAGAGAGGTCTCCAATGACCACCCCTCGGTGAGCCTTATCAATCTGATCTTGCCATGATGCTGAACCTCAGTTTTTTTAACACGTCCACAAATTTTTCTTTCAAAATGTTTTTAAAATGATACATTTTTTCTGGATTAAAAAAATTGTCAATAATTTCAGAGAAAAAATAAAATCAGATCACTAAACACATATAAAAAAAATTGATCTAACCGACTTGACTGAAAAAAGCTAAAATTAAACATAACCGAGTAAAACTATATCAACAACAAATCAGACCGAACTGAGCCAATTGTGAACGGTTCAATTTCGATTTTGGACATGGTTCGTTCGGTGATATCTTTTTAAAAAAAAAAAAATAGAAAATTTCCTTTTTTTGTTGTCCAGTCATCCAAACCGAATCACTTCTTTCAATTAAAAGAAAAATTGGGGAGTTGAAGCGTGACTCTTATAGGTAAACACATGATATGCTTACCACCAAACCACCTGTTTCATTGTGCTATTGTCGATACACATGAATATTTATTGCATTCTCTGGGTTTTGAAACTAACAACAACAATGCTAAGAGTCTCACGTTAGAAAGAAGCTAAAGTTTAGCATTCCTCGCCACTATAAAATGCCATGTAGCAACCATTCTTTCACACTAATATATATTGAGCCTTACACGGGCCCTTTTCTTATTGGGCTTTTCTTGTTGACAACACGTCATTATTTTAAGAAAAATAGTAGAAAATAGGTCAATATAAAAATTTTAAAAAGTATATAGGTCAATTTTTAGTTATATAAATTAATAGATCATAACTTGTCAAGTTATGGTTCATAATCAGATAAGTTATGGACAAACTTATCAAGTTATGGTTTATAGCCAGACAAGTTATGGATAAAAACCGTGAATAACTTATCAAGTTATGGTTCATAACCAGACAAGTTATGGACGAAAACAATAATTTTGCCTATTTATTAACTTATATAAACTATTGACCTATTAATTTTAATTTATCTTAAATCTTGGCATATTTCTCTCTTTCTCCCTTACTTTAATAGCTTCTAAATTACTATAAAAATTTATTATTGTTTAATTATACGTATCATATAATATCAAATTATAATGAGACAAAGGTAGCGCCTTATATATAGTCTTTATTTTCAAACCACATATAGAGACACGATCATCCATTAGTCGATTAAAAAAGGGTGTTGCATTCTAAGTTTATTAGTGGCAAACATGTTAGACGATGAAAACTCGTCAACATAAATATAATAAATTTTAAAATAGTTTGTGCAAATTTAATGATTTAAAATACGATTAAAAACAAACAAATAGTAAAAACACACGAGAATTATAGTGGTTTACCGTTAATTTAAGAGCTACGTCCATTATGAGGAGGAGATAATTGTCTATCATTGGAGGAATTACACATTAATATTCACAATGAAACTTAGAGGTTTCTCGACCTACAATCATTTATTTATATCGTTCTTCACCGTCTAGTTGGTTTTTTTATTTAATTCGGAGATATTTCACTCATATTTTAGGATAGTTTCCCAAAAAGTGGGGATTACAATCAATCAAAATGATTTCTTTGTTTAAATTTCATATATTTGAATTACAAATAGCTAATCTCGCATGTTTTTCAACTTGCGTAAACTCGACTTCACAAGTGATTTCATAACCATCTTTGCCTACAATTGTTGCCTATTATTGGGCATGTCAGAGGCTCTAGGAACAGTTTAAAAACTCTAGAAGAGGTAAAATCCACCTCATAATTTTATTATTATTTTATTATGATTATTATTATATTTTTCAAGGAATTTTTATTATAGTTTGTTTAACATAATTGATAATATTTCGTTGAATGTATTTTCAGCGCCTAATTTTTGGAGGAAGGGGTTTAAATGGCTATGCAAAAATTTCAGCTAGCCCTTATGTAACCATCCAAGGATGGTATGCCGTCATCTAATCTAATCTATAAAAGTTACAGTTTGTATTTGAATTAAATATGTATGTTTTTAAGACCTTGTTATTTTGTTAGTATATTTCTTTTTTAGGTAGTCTTTACGGTAAGATTTTTTTTTTAAAATCTATCGGTAAAACACCTTATTTTAACTGTTGGATTAAGTTTTCAACGGTCAACGTAGAAAAATCTTTCTTTTTATATAAAAAGAAAAAATAGAGCTGTGATGAATGTTTTACTATGTCATGTACAGTATGTGAAACGAGATTGTGTCTATTTTGAAACATAAAAGGAGACGATAGATAGCGAGAGAGATTTTTAGAAACAAAAATACACATCAATATGTAATTGTAGACATAACTTAAAAGATAATATCACACCTATATCCATCAAGTGAGTATGAATCTCCCACCGCAAATTAAAAAAAAGGGGAAATTTTTTGGTATGTCAAGTTTTTTTTAACTGTTAAATTTGTATATTTTTTTTATTTTTATGTGATTTTATTTAAATTTAACAGATAAAAAACTTGACATACCAATGTATTAACTAAAAAAAGTCTCATTAAAAAAGCACACACATCAACATAAATTTTATCATTCACATGTACAAAAATTCTATTAAAATTTTAAGCTGTAATTATCTCTATTTTTTCACTAACAAATTATATTATTATAAGTTGGGAGGCCACAAATTTCCGTTATCAGTTTTTATGATATTCATCTTCTGTTGTTTGATAATGTGTAATTTCAAAGGGACAAAAATTTCAGCATTTTCTGCAGGTTTCGTTCAAGAACGCTCAAATCACCATTTTCTTCTGTTTCAAAAGGGAAAAAAAAATAAAAAAATCACCATTTTCTTATTATTAGGCCTATGCGCCTCTAACGGTCTACGATAGTCCAGAGTCCAGACCGGTTTTAGTCTCCGCTCCGGTTCGCAATAACAGAAGCAAACTAAAGAACCGACATAATAACAGAAGCTTTCTTCTCTTCCTCTTCTCTCTCTCCTTTCCATCTTCTCCACGACTCATTTACATGTCGAACCCTAACCCTAATTCTGACGCTGAAGCCTTGATTGTGCATTGAGAAGGAAACAAGGTTTTAGCCGGCAAAGAGATGGAGGCGCATTTCAATCACAATCTGTTCGAGAGACGACCCATTCTCAAGTCCAAGACTCCCGCTGTTAAATGGATCAAAGAATGGTACCTTTTTCTTTTTCTTTATTCGATTATTTCCTTTCTTTCCTTTCGGGTCACTCCTGATTTTATTGATCATACTTCTAGGGCTCAAGTAATGTTGTTGTTTTTCTTTTTGGGAATATTTGAGATGGTGAATCGAAAAAGGGATTTCTTTGGATTGATGTAGTAAAGTTTGGGGAAAATTTATGAATTATGAGACCTGATTACTGATTCTTGTCGTTATCTATTTTTTTTTTTTTGGGAAGGAATTTAGAAATTTTGACATTTTATGGGGAACAATTGTCGTTCCAGCTGAAATTCATTTGTTTCCAAGGAAATGGGTTTTAGAAATTTCTGCAGAAAATTCTAAATTAAAACTTCATAATCCATGCACTGAAATTGTAACTGACTTTTAAACTAATTCATTTTTTTTTCTCATTAAAAAGTTTACAACTTTTAAGTTGTTAGTATAATTGATTAGTGTTTCGAAACTAAATAGGTTGCACAAAAGAAAAATTCTCACAACCGTTCACATTTGCATACTTGTATTTGTTCTCTTTGAAATATTCCCAATTGAGAACATAGCAAAAGTTGTTATTTTCAAGTGGAGGGTGTTATCCTTGCGTAGTTATAGGCTTCTAGCTAACAATTTATCTTGTCGTTTAGGGTTCCCCAAGATGTTGTAGCGACTGGTGGGAAGTGCTTTCTCTTAAAATGGGTTACAGGTACGTCTGTCTTGGTCTCTCCTTTTCCCTCTCATTTTTCCCACTGATGTTCTGTGTATACTCTCTTCCTCATTGCCTTTAATCATGCTTAGATGTTTGTGTCTGAATTTCATCGGCTTATTATATGAATCTAGACTTATGTTTTCTTCTCTTGTATTCAGAGGGGACATTGAAGGCGTTGAAAGAGAAGGCAAAAGAGCCAGAAGTACCAGAACCAGAACCGGAGCCAACAACAGAAGTGCTTTTTCTTTGCAGCTATGAAGGCTGTGGAAAGACGTTTATTGATGCTGGTGCTTTGAGGAAGCATTCTCACATTCATGGGGAGAGACAATATGTTTGTCATTATGAGGGGTGTGGAAAGGTATTGTGTCATACATTTTAGTCCCGTCGCCCTCTCTTCTGCCATTCCTATTCCTTTAAGTATCTATTTCGTTATACACTAGCCAGTTTGAGAGATTGAGATAGTAGTTGTAGTGTTTTCACTGTTCCCCAAAAAAAAAAAATTTCCAAATGGTAAGATGGATACTAAGGTCAACTCTGTTCAATCTGTTCACACACTGACGTTTATATCTTCGGGTGTCTTATTTGGATATCCTGTTTTCCTTTTATCTCCCTTTCCTCTCACCTTATGGAGCAGTCTTGAAAATAATTATTATTTTGTTGCAGAAATTTTTGGATAGTTCAAAGTTGAAGAGACACTTTCTTATTCATACAGGAGAAAGAGATTTTGTATGTCCCCATGAAGGCTGTGGTAAGGTGATAATGTATTCCCCGCTTTCTCTCTCTCTCTCTCTCATATGATCTCTTGGCGTCTGTTGTTGAATTTATCGCGTCTGTTGTTAAATTTATCGCGTCTGTTGTTGAATTTATCGGGGTTTGCTGTAATTTTAAGAAATGTGCTTCTTGACGAGTTCGTTGAAACACCACATTTTTTTTAAAAGATGTCTTTGGGAATATATGAACCATAGCTTTGTGCATTCTACCAATTTCAATTGTGAAATCTGCAGGCATTTTCCTTGGATTTCAACCTAAGGTCACACATGAAGACGCATTCGCAAGAGAACTATCACATTTGCCCATACGCTGATTGTGGGAAGAGATATGCTCATGAGTACAAGCTAAAAAACCATATTTCGTCTCACCATGAAAAGGTTGGTACACTATTAGTATTCATGATGAATTTTATCTTGTAATTTGTATGTATGTATGTATTTTTTTTTTTTAAATTATCATGCTTTGAAAGGTGTTGTATGTTTCATTGATAGGCTATGATTAGAATGAAGGATACAAAATTTTCCCCCATAAGTAGGGGAAATTTCTGCCGGCTGTGGATTTCTCCTCCATTAATTATTGTTTATTTTACAGAGTCCGGCTGTGGATGTGACAAAGTATGCCCCAGCTCCGGAGAAGCCAGCCAAAACGCCCAAGCCTGCTGCAGGAGTTTATGGTTCAGCATCATCCGACCGCCCGTATGCTTGTCCTTATGAAGGGTGCGAAAAGGCCTATATCCATGAATACAAACTCAAGCTTCATCTGAGGAGAGAACATCCTGGGCATATGTCTGACGAGAATGCTGAGAATGCTGCCACAACAGCCAATGCTGATAATGAGATGGATGAAGGCAGTGACCAAGATGCCTATGGTGGTGGGAAACGTGTGAATGGCAAAACCCAAAAGCAAAACAAGTTCAAACCAAGTCTGAAGTTACCTCCTGCAAAAATTGCGCAACGTAAGGGCTCGACTCCATCTCCTGCTAGGGTGAACATAGTGAAAAAACCATGGCCAGTCAAAGATGAAGTTTACGAGGGAGAAGACAGTGAAGAAACGGAGGAGGACCGTGACAACGTTGAAGATGGTTGGAGATATGCGGAAAACCACGAGGATGATGATGAAGAAACAGAATATGAGGATTGAAGACTTTTTTTTTATTTTTATTTTTTATAAATAGTTTTGGTTGTAACTTTTGCTTTTGAATAGGCAGGATCATAGCATTTTACTCCTATTTGCCGTTGGAATGATACAAATATACATAGATGTCAGTAAATCATAGTTTCCATGTTCAATGTATGCCGACATGTTTTCTAAATTCAAACGAGCTTTTCATATAGAGGGTCTTTTACGTAGCTTGCACTTTCTATTTCCGTTGCCTTTTGAAAAACTGAAAAAAAAGTAGGGCCTGTTCGGTTGCTGCAACTCACTCGAAAAAGGCCCTCGAGTGAGTTTTTTGCCCAAATTTATGTTCGGCGTTGCTGGTCTCAAAATAAAACTTGAAAATTAATTTGAGTTCCGTCTATTCCTGCTACTTGAGTTTATTTCTTTGCATTTCTACTGTAGATTTCTGTTACAGATTTCAAAAGACCTCAACTTGGGCTATGACTCGAAGCAGCATTGGTCTTTGAACGACAACACGACAATCTGCTCGGTGATGACAAACAGACGGCAACAATAGCGGTTCGGCGAGGGGAGAGTGGTGAGTGGTAAGCGGCAGAGATCAACGGAGCATGGGGTAGTGATGGTTCGGCGCGGAGATCGACAAAGTTCCGGAGAGGGTGGTCGATGCACAAATTGTGGGGTTTCGTCTAGGTTTGGCTGTGAATTGTGAACTGTAGCGCAAGAATGGAATTGATTTGCAGAAGCTTATATTTATGATTAGTTTTGGTTTTGCTGATACGCTAATTTGTTGTTTTGGCGTTTGCTTTTCTGATGCTTGTTTGCTTCTCGAGAAAGAAGAGGAAAGACAGGCTTGGTGGGCTTGGGGGGCTTTCCGTGACATTGAACAAGGGGGATATATCGACGGAGAAAGTGATCTCTAGGAGCCAAGATGCGAACAATAAGTTGGTTTTCTTTGAGGGGTGTTACTATGCGTTTGATTTGGAGGATTTGTTGGAATGGAATTGATTTGCAGAGACTCATGTTTATTATTAGTTTTGGTTTTGCTAATTTGTTGATTTGCTAATTTGCTATTTTGCTTTGGTTTGGGTTTTCTTTGCTCTTTTGCTCTTTTGCTATTTTATTTTGCTTTGCTTTGCGGTGAATGAAAGGAAAAAAATAATAAGTTCAAAAAAAGAAAAAAAATCTCTCAATTATTCACAACTTAAGTCCTAGTATAATTAAATATAAATTTAAAAAGATTCTCATATCAAATTATAATTTAAATATGCACAATTAAATATAAATTTAAGTTACAATTTTAACTCAAATTATAATTCAAACTCAACTTAAAAATTACATTCAAGTCATTTAACTTAAAAATATAACTGAACACCCGTAATCTTTTTCCAATCTCATTAAAGTGCGAACCAGAAAATAATTCCGAAAAAAACTAGTAGTCTTTTTTCGGATTCCATTTCGAATGTCGAGTTGAAAAACTGCAAAAACTAGCACTTTTTTTGGATTCCATTTCAGGTCGTTTATTTTCTTCCGGCAATTGCGAGTTGTCACAAAACGACGTGTCGTTACAGAGACAACGGTTTCAGCGGCCACGCCCCCTCCAAAAAAAAAAGAAAAAAGAAAAAAAGGGAAACTGACTGGAGGATATCTCATCCTTATCTCATCAGACTTCGTCTCGCATAAAGACAGAGATTTCAGCAAATGATGGACCTCGACTGAATGAATGTGATAGAGATAGCCACCCAACGGCTGTTAGACATTGAATATTGATGCCAAACAACTCATTAAAGACCAAAGTTAGGACATCTTTTATTTGAGAGGTTTTTAACACAATTGTTATCGTGGTAAATTATTTCTTAAATTTTTAATTTTAAAAATTAATTTCTTAAACTTATAAAATTATTATAATGTGACTTATTTAATTAAAATTTTCAGATTAGATATGTGTATTATATTTTGATTGTGATGCTAAAATTTTCATCAAAAGTGTTTTTTCAACATTAATTTAACACAAACATAGTTATAGTTGAGAGAGTAAGGATTGTTCTTTTGTAATAAAATTCAAAAAAAAAATTAAACTCAAGTTACAATTTTATTTAAGTTCACGTTCTTTTAAGTTTTAATTTTATTCAATTTTACTTAATTTTATTCAAATTATAACTTCAACTCAGATTATAACTCAAATTTAACTTAAAAATTACACTCAAATTATACTCAAATTACTCTCTAAAAAACAATCCTCGGACTTACCAAAACAGTACAAATTCAGAGGACAAATAGCCGCACAGATTCGACCTCCGCCTACACCCTACACACTGTAAAGTCAAGTATCATGAGCTCCTTCCGAGAAGTTGCTTATATGCTCCATTATTGAGCCCTCTTTTTGTCTCAGTACTTCGTTGATCATCATCACCTGGTGTTTTGTCTGAAATTCTGATCTTGCAAGAAACCAGACGACGTCCTTTTAACGGGAATGGCCGAGGCCATCGTTTCGTTCGTGATAGAAAGACTCGGAGACTTGCTCCTGAATGAAGCAAAGTTCTTATCTGGAGTTAGAAACGAAGCTGAGGAGGCGAAAACCGAACTGCAACGAATAAAATGCTTTCTTGAAGACGCAGATAGGCGTGCAAGGCAAGGAGACAAGACGATTCGCCAACATGTTGCGGAAATAAGAGAAGCTGCTTATGATTTGGAGGATGTCATTGCAACTTTTGCCTTGAAGGCGGCTTCTAGAAGTGAACAAGGTAGAAAGTACGTACTCAAACGATTTGCTTGCATCTTGATTGATCTTCATAAAGTTGGCAATGAAGTTGAGAAAATCTGTGAAAAGATTTCTAGGTCAAGATCGAGTTTCCAAGAATTTGGGGTACTGGTACAATCAAGCAATAATGAAGGCGCAAGTTCTTTGAATGAGAGGCAGCGAGGAGATTTGAGGCGAACTTTTTCTCACAACATCGATTCTGATTTTGTTGGATTTGAAGAAAATGTTAGGGAATTGGTGTCCCACCTGACAAGAGAAGGATGTCTTCATAGAGTTGTTTCAATTTGTGGGATGGGTGGCTTAGGAAAAACTACACTTGCAAGACGGATTTACTATCATGGCGATGTAAGACATCACTTTGATTGTTTTGCTTGGGCATCTGTGTCACAAAAATGTCAAGCGAGGGATGTTTGGGAGGGAATTTTGATTAAACTCGTTTCTCCTACCGCGGAGAAAAGAAAAGAAATCAAAGAAATGAGGGATGATGAGATATCCAAGGCGCTTTACACTGTTCTGAAAGAGAAGAAATGTCTAGTGGTTCTTGATGATATTTGGACCACCGCAACTTGGGATTGCCTAAAGTCTGCATTCCCGAATGTTAGATCTGAGAGCAAAGTATTATTCACCACTCGGAATAGAGATATAGCTTTACACGCCGATCGCAATAGCATCCTCCATGAGCCGAGGTGTTTCAACAAGAATGAGAGTTGGGAATTGTTTGAGAAGAAAACATATTTCGGTGAGAATGTCGAAAAAATTATTTCACAGTTATGCTGTCTTTTCATTGTATTCTAAGAATAACATAAATACGACTACTTTAGATCCATTGTTAAAGACAATTGTACATTTGCAAGTCTTTTATTGGTATTCATTTATATAGTCCGAAAAAGGATTGGAGAGGAAGTTGTCCTGTTTCGCAAAATGTACAAATACTAAGAACATAGTAATAAAGATATAGATTTTCATGTTTCTTTAACTTTTCTATTTTGCAGATTTGGAAGATGACAAAAGGAAGGAAACATTAGCGCGAAAGATGCTTGATTATTGCAATGGATTGCCATTAGCCATTACAGTGCTCGCAGGACTTCTATCCAGTAAACAAACCATCGATGAGTGGGAGACTTTGCATAAGAATATTAAGACATATATGAGGAAGGGCAAAATCAACGAGCAAGAAGACTCCAACTTAGGTGTCTCATGGGTGTTGGGTTTGAGTTACGATGAATTGCCGTATCACATGAAGCCATGTTTTTTGCACTTGGCTTATTTCCCCGAAGATTTTGAAATAAGGGCAAAAGAACTATGCCGATTGTGGATAGCAGAAGGCTTCATATCCATGGAGGACGCGGCATATGAATGCTTGAGGGAATTGGTGCAAAGGTGCATAGTTCAAGTGGCAGAGTGGGGCTCAACTGGAAGAATCAAAACATGCCGCATTCATGATCTTATGCGAGACTTGTGCTTGTCAAAGGCACAGGAGGAAATCTTTCTAGAATCTATCGATCTCCACAAGCAACATGAGGCGATAAGTTCTTCTTTTGGCATGACAACAAATTTGATTCCAAGCAATAAGGTCCGTAGACTTGCCATCTATTTGAACAACAACAGTGCTGATGAATTGCTCTCTCTCATTAGAGCTAAGGATGTTTGTCTTAGATCTCTTATATGCTTCAGTCCAGAACTATATACATCCTATGAGCAAGTAATGAAACCAGTGCTCAATCGCTTCCATTTGCTTAGAGTTTTGAAGTTTGAAAATCTCAGCCGAGGTCATGTTGGAAAGTTGCCCAAAGAAATAGGGGATCTTATCCACTTAAGGCTTCTTAGTTTAAAGGATAGTTATGTGGAAAAGTTACCATCATCCATCGGGAATTTGAGATGCCTCCAGACCTTAGACTTGCGGGTAAAAGCCTTCTCTTTTCAGAAAGGACTTCAAATGTCTGAAATACCATCTGTGCTATGGAAATTGGAAGAGCTTAGACATTTGTATCTACCACAGAACTATTTTACGAGAGGCCGTCGTTCGAAAAGCTACTTCAGAATTGGCTACTCTGATAGTATATTGTTGTTGGATAATCTTACCAATTTGCAAACAATGGTGAATGTTTCGGCGAATTACGGTTATCTACATGGATTGGGGAAACTGACCAATCTCACCAAATTGAAAGTAAATTTGGGGTCTAACTTCATTGGTCCAAGAATTTTGTTTAACAATCTTCGATCTCTGGCCATCTATTATTCAGATCTTCTTGAAGTTCAATTTCACCATGACGATCAGGAACAAACTCAGAGAAGACGAATGGCTGAATTTAGTGTAGCAGATGTAGAAATGCTTATATTGAGCTGTCCTCAAATTTACAAACTGCATCTGCAAGTACCTATAAAGTGGCTACCACAAGATAACCAATTTTCTCCCAACCTTATCAAGTTAACACTAGTTAATACTTGGCTCGAGCATGACCCGATGGTAACATTAGAAAAGCTCCCAAATTTGAGGATCTTTGCCCTTGATTATAATGCCTTCATTGGAACTAAAATGGTGTGCACCACAAGAGGTTTTCCTAAACTCGAGTCTCTTTCCATTTGTTACCTTGATAATTTAAAAGAGTGGAAGGTGGAGGAAGGGGCCTTACCGAGCCTTCGTCGTTTGCATATCGTAAACTGCTTAAGATTGAGGACAATTCCAGATGGGGTAAGATATCTAATTACTCTCAAGGAAATTGTGCTCCAACATATGCTCAGGCAATTCAAGCAGAGAGTTGAACAAGGAGGAGAGGACTTCTACAAAGTCCAGCATGTGCCTTCTCTTGTGTTCATGAATACTTTGGAGTTTTAGCTCTATTCATGAGGTACTGCTTACTTATTTAAATTTACATATTGCTCAAAATTCTTTTTCCTTTGGAGTTTTAGCTTTTCAAGTTCTTTTTCCTCGTCGTTTTGCCTTTACTTATTTAAATTTACATATTGCTCAAAATTCTACCAGGGTTTATCCAGGATCGGAGTTTTGATAACGAAACGTGGCTCTTTTGGGTTTTCTTCTTTCTTCTTTGATTGTAAGAATATTTGCCTTTTCCACTTTGTTGTATCATTATGAGCTTTGGTGATCTTGCAGCTAGCAAGCTTACTGAATCACTTATGTTTGTACTTGTATTTTTCATTATCTCGCATGTAAGATATGGAGTGAAAGAATTGCGACTATAACATAAATAATCGTATTTTGTCACGACAAGATACACATAAAAAAGGTCATTCATTCATAGATCAAGGTCAAAACAAGTAATCTGCATGACAAATTAAAATAAAAGTAAAAAAACAAACAGGATGGACCTGGAATGGGAGTTGTTACTTCTCTTTGTTTAGCCAGTAGCTCTGTTTTCTCTGTTTTTTTGCCTCGTCCAATTCTGTTTCCTTTGGAGAAATATTCAAATTCTAATTTATGATTATAAAAAAAAGATTAGCAAGATTATGGAGGGAACAGGATGAAGGAAAATAATCAAAATATTAAGTTGGATTAAAAGCATAAGAAAGAGAAGCCTGGGAAAGAGTTGTTTTCTTTGATTTTGTGATTTTCCGTTGTGCATATGCATGCTAGTGTATTTATTTATTTTTATTTTTATTTTCTGGATCTGAACATATTTATTTAAGACTACTACTACAAGGTTCATCAGAGATGACAATAATTGTCTTGGACGTTTATTTCAAGATTGCCTCAATGCAGAACAGATTCTATTTCGTTGAAATGTATTTGTAGTAAATGTAAAAAAAGGAAACAGAATCGAATTTGTAGCCGTTAATCTCATAAGAAAACGACAGCAATACCGAAGACGACAAATATTTCAATATACTACAAAGGAATTGCAAAACGACAACAAAAAACGTGAGCAGTGTAAACGTCGTGCAAACATATAAGTACAATAGTATGGCAATATCCTATTTTGGAGGTTATTGATGCATGAGTTAATTTGGTCATTGTTTTTAAAACTTCTTGTCGTTTGTTCTCGCTATGCAGCTACTTGCCGTTTAGTCTACTTTACGTTACCTTATGGCATTTTACCTCTGTTAATAGTCGTTTTGATGTTTTGAGTAGCTCTAAATTTACTCCCTCAATTATTGTCTTTGATCTCGTTCCTAACTGCTATTTACAAAAATGTTATACTAAGGTCTCGTGGATTTCATCAATTTGAGTTTTTAATTTCAGTTTTATTATAATTAAAAGAGAAATAGTAGAAAATAGGCCAATATGAACAGCTTAAGAAAATATATAAGCCAATTTTTAGTTATAGAAATTAGTATGCCATAACTTGTCAAGTTATGGTTTATAACCAGATAAGTTATGGAAAAACTTGTCAAGTTATGATTCATAATCATACAAATTATGGACAATTATGAACAATAACTTGTCAAGTTATGGTTCATAACCAGACAAGTTATGGACAAACTTGTCAAGTTATGGTTTATAATCATACAAGTTATGGACAATAACTTATCAAGTTATAGTTTATAAACAGACAAGTTATGGACGAAAATAATAATTTGGCCTATTTATTAACTTATGTAAACTATTGGCTTATTAATTTTAATTCATCTCAAGTCTTGGCATATTTTTCTCTTTCTCCCTAGTTAAAAATTCACACAAAAAGTTACTTCTAACTTTTTCTTTCTGTTACAGTTAAAAACTCTCACATAAAGTCATATATCAATTTAAATTAAAAACTCGAATCAGTGAATTAAGTGAATTAAACGAGGCTTAAGTGTTTATGAAAATTTCCTAATTTTAAAAGTTGGAATCCTATTCTATTTATAGAAACCTTTTCCTAATTTAAATCGCTTTCTAATTTCGAATCCCATTGCAATTATGACAATCTAAAAATACTGTATAAATTAAGGGTCTATTTAGTTCGTTGATTTAAGTTGAGATGTGACTTTATGTGATAATTTTTTACTGTAATAAAAAAGTTAGATGTGACTGTTTGTGAGAGCATTTTACTGTCGCAAACTCGAATCAACAAAATGAATGGGAGCATGAATTCTTTCTTATTCTCGACACAATCAATATTTCACAGCCAAAAAAAAAATCTTTCTAGAGAGAGAGTATTAAGAGTATTTTAACGAGAGAGAACTATTAATTTAGAATCTCAGAGTGTGTATTTCTGTTCATTTCATAAATTCTAATTTTTAATTTTAATTTTAGTTAAAAATTCTCATAAAAATTTATATTTAATTTTTATATTAGTAAAAAATTCTCACCTAAAATTATATCTCGAAGATTAAAAACTCAAATTCAGGGACTAACAATCGGGAAGAGTTTCACGTCCAGGTCCTATGAAGGTGAAGAACAAAAACCCAGCCCCATTACAAATCATCGCCGAACAAATCATCCGTGAGGCTCGGGAGCTTCAGAGGGCTGAGAGACTTGCCGTGCGGACTCCGAGGCAGAAGATCGTCGACGCCGGAGAGCTCGCCGACTACCGCTTCCGCAAGCGCAAGGAGTTCGAGGACCAAATCCGGCGCTCGCAACGGAACAACATTAACGTCTACATCAAGTACGCGAAGTGGGAGGAGTCTCAGAAGGAATTCAACCGCGCGAGGTCCGTCTTCGAGAGAGCTCTCGAGGTCGATTGCCGGAACCACACGCTGTGGCTGAAATACGCCAAGTTTGAGATGAGGAACAAGATAATCAACTACGCCAGGAATGTGTGGGACCGAGCCGTCTCGATTTTGCCTAGCGTTGATCAGCTCTGGTATAAGCGTATACATATGGAGGAGATGCTCGGGAATGTCGCCGGAGCCAGGCAGATCTTCGAGAGGTGGACGGATTGGATGCCCGACGGCCATGGTTGGCTTTCCTAGATCGAATTCGAGCTCCGATACAACGAGGTGGAGCGCGCTAGAGCCATTCTCGGGAGGAGCCCCAAGGATATCAGGTTGACCATATCAGCTATTAACGGAGATTAGGAATTTTTTGAATATTGAGTACCGAGATACAGGTACGGTTCATCGCGTTACTTATCCAAGCGTGTTGCCGGATAGTCGGATATGCTGTACTCTGATTTTTATGAGGTTAGGAACCATTTGCTGTTACCAGCATTGCTCATTATTAGGTAACGCATTCCCGTTTATCGATTTGGTGACACGTTGTCGCTTTCGCTTTAATAATGAGTGATATGGAGTCATGCCTTCCGTGTTATGGAAAGATTCTTTTTTTGGACACTGATAGTAAGGTACACGTGTGCAATCCTATGGAATATTATTAGTTGCATGGCTAGTAGGAGGTTGACTATATCCACTACTAATTGTGTAATATAAAAATAGATGGTGAAAAATGTTATCAGATCTCAATTTTGAAGGTAAAATATATCAAATTAATGATGGTGGAGATTCCATAAATATATGGACTATGAATATTCAAATTCAAAATGGGAAGATAATAATAAGAGAAGGGTTTGAGTGATTTTATGTACCGTTTAATTGATTGATTTAAAATTTTAATGTAAGTGATTTTATGTAAAAAATTTTAATTGTAGTAGATAATAATAAGAGAAGGGTTTGAGTGATTTTATGTACCGTTTAATTGACTGATTTAAAATTTTAATGTAAGTGATTTTATGTAAAAAATTTTAATTGTAGTAAAAAAAAAAATATAATTTTTTATTATAATAAAATTTAAATTTTAAACTTAAATTGATAAAATGAACGTGATCTTAATTTTTAATTTAAGATTATATTTTTCTATCATCATTGTTCAAAGTTATTGGTTGTAATTATTGTAGTTCAGTGGAAGTTGATCAATACATATGATGGTTTTAGATTAAGATTTTTTTTTCCCTCCTTCGTTTGTTCTATTTTTCTTTTCGGGTCCTATTCTTTAGTCTCTTATTGGTTATCCCTTAAATATTGCCACTTCATTAAGCATTATCACACACCCTTCATATTATTGTAATGAAAATAGGATTACCATTTTTCGACATAAGCTTACTAAAGTCGGTTTGATATAGCAAAGAGGGAATTTGAAACAAAGATAGAAATAAGAAAAAACAAAACAATTACCTTTATTACAGTGCAAAGTGATGCATAGCAAAACGGTACGGAACAAGGGAAAACAGAGAGAAACAGAGGCTATAAGGCAAAAGAAAGAGAAATAACAGCGACCAATCGTTCCATAAAAATGGCGGTGATGAAGACATTACGACAAATCATCAATGTACTAGGTAGCTGAAAAGATTTGGTACAACGGAGAGGATAAGACAAAAAGGAAAACCCAAAGAACCACCTTTAGTTCTGGTACACCAAACTCTGGCATTGGATTTCCTGTTCTAGAAGCGATGTTTGCAAATAGGGACAACACTTCTCTGTTTTTTTTTTTTTTTTTTTAATTTTTCCCCTCATTTTTCCAAAATAGGGGACCTGTAGTACATATTGATTAGTAAATGCAAAAAGAAAGAAGAAAGTTATGAATTATGATTAACATGGACGCATGTAAATTAGATAAAATAGTACCTGAATAATAGAGCTGATCCAAAGGACTGATAAATACGAGGGAAGGCAAATGCTGAACTTTGTAGAAATCCTCTCCTTGAATTTCTTAGGCATAGATTGGAACACAATTTCCTTGAGAGTAATGACATATCTTAGTCCATCAGGAATTGTCCTCAATTTTCGGCGTTTTCTGATATGCAAAAGACTAAGGCAAAGTAAGGCTCCTTCCTCCACTTTCCACTCTTCTAGATATTCGAGGTAATTAATGGAAAGAGACTCAAGTTTAGGAAAACCTTTTCTGCTGCAAACCATCTGAGTTCCAATGAATGAATAAAGACCAAGGTGAAGGATCCTCAAATTTGGTAGCTTTTCTAATGTTTACCATAGGGTCAATCTTAAGCAGACGATAAATCAGCGTTAACTTGGTGAGGTTTGGAGAAAATTGGTTGGCTTCTGCTAACTTCAACCAATTCATTTTCAGATGTAGTTTGCAAATTTGAGGACAGCTTAATATGACTGATTTTACATTTTCGATGAATTCAGTCGTGTGATCAGTGGCCATATAATAAAAAATGGTGAGAGATCGAAGATTATTAAACCTAATTCTTGTACCCCCTGAAGTTTGGTAAGATTGGTCAGTTTCTCTAATGAATCCAAAAAATGGTAATTCACATTAATACCAACAATTGTTTGCAAATGGATAAGATTATCCAACCGCAACATGCTTCCAAAATAGGTCCGTAGATACAAATTTCTCAGCTGTTCCAATTGATAAATCCG